TCCCCCTACAGGAGGGATGTTCAAAAATAGTTAAACAGTTATCAGGGGACCATGTTTTTTTTTTTTTTTTTTTTTTTCGTTTTTTGAGCATTTGCGGAGTATGTTTGGACTGTTTTTTATTTGTCGTCCAAAATCGGCCTGCACGGGGACAGGCCCGACCTAACCTTATCCGTAAGGGCTTCGCCCCCCATGCCGCCAGCCCCCCTTTCTTAGAACGGGACTTGCCAGAGCTGTGTTGGGATGTCTGGGCGCTGACGTGAAGCAGTGTCGGGACTTCTCGCGAGGGCCAATATGAATTTACGATGGTTTGTGGCTTCGGTGGCGCGAATCTCGTGTAAGTTACGATGGCTTATGGCGTTGGGGACGCGAATCTTGTGAGATTCACGAGGGTGTGTGGCCTCGAGGACGCAAACATTGTATAATGATTAACCAGAGCTCAGACCCAATCAGTGGACTGTTATAAGTTTAGTGTTGTGGACATTGAGATTGATTGTGAGATCGATGGTGAGATCGATAGTTGCATTGAAATTTAGGACGATAGTATGGTCGATCGTGAGACAAGTAGTGAAGTCGATTCAGTGAGGTCGATGGGGAGATCGAACGTGAGATCGCTCGTGCGATCTACAGTGAGATCGATTGTGAGATCGATCAGGAGACCGACTCTGGTATCGAAAATGAGATCCACAGAGGGGTGGATAAGGAGGTCGCCCAGGAACCCAAGAACCCGGAACCAGGAACCCAGAACCAGGAAACCTTGGAACCCGGGAACCCGGGAACCCGGTATCAGGAACCCTGGAACCCAGCCTGCTACCAAAATCGGCGGGAAAGTTTCGCCAAATGTTTCAACTTCCGCTAGGACCCCTTCAGTGCAAGCACTGATTGGGGAATGTACACGGGTTTATGGCCTCGGGGGCGCAAATATTGCGTAATTTGCAAGAGGTTTACGGCTTCGGGGACTCGAATCTTAGATATTTTACTCGGACTTCTGGCCTCGTGGACGCCATTATAGTATAAGTTGCGATGTTTGATGGCCCTGGGGACGCAAACACTGTATACTTTACGAGGGTGCATGGCTTCGGCGGCGCGAATATTCCATAATTCACGAGGGTGTATGGCATCGGGGGCGCGAATCTTGTGTACTTTGCGAATCTTGTGTACTTGGCAAGGGTGTACGCCGTCGGGGACGCGAACATTGTTTAATACAAGGGGTTATGGCTTCGAGGACGCGAATATTGAATGATTTACGATGGTGTATGGCTTCGGGGACGCGACTATGGCGTAATTTACTAGAGATTCTGATTCCGGGGACGCGCATCTCATGTATTTTTCCGTGGCCCACGACCCCCCGGTAATTCAGACAACGCGATTCGGGGGCGCTAGCCAGGACGCTTTTCGGCTTCCCCCCCCGCGCGTTCAGCAACAATTTACAGTAAGGAAGCGAAAGCAGCATTGTAAGAGTGGAAACTGGAAACTGCAACTGGCACAGGGAGCTGCAAGCCTACTCTTCGCAGCCTGATGGCCCCGCAATGGGGCCGGCGGATTTTTTTCTTCGGCTGGTGATTTCCCAGATTTCCAATTGGGGTGTCGATCATGGTGGCCCCGAGTTGGTGCCACGTGTTTTCACGCGTCCAGGCCACCCTGGTGGACATCTAAGGAACCATTTGCTTTCATGTGTCCAGGCTACCCAGGGCGGTATCGAACATGGTTGCCCCGAGCTGGAAGCATGTGTTTTCACGTGTCCAGGCCGCCCAGGGAGGTACCTAACATGGTTTTCCCGAGCTGGAACTACGTCTTCACGCGTCTAGGCTACACGGGGAGATATCCAACATGTGGGCGTCTGGCTCTATTTGGGGTGTCTCGAGCGAGGGCTGCGGAACAAAGTCGGATCTTGAGCTCGAGCTGGTCGAGCGCCCCGCGCGTTTCGCAACTAGCTTTCTACGCGTTCAGACAGCTCGAGCTCAAGGTCCAAATCAATTTGGTCAGGATTCTGACGCCAAGGACGGTTTGACCCATCATGCAATAGCGCACGGCACAGTTCAACGCGGCATATCCCTGGCGCGTCCCTTGGCATTTCCATTGGCGCGTCCCGTGGCGCGTCCCTGGCACGTCAGTATGCGGCGCGGCACAGCGTAGAGCAGCGCAACACAGCCCTTGACAACAGATCATCCTCATTGATATCTTCAGCATTGCCATTGCCCATCGCCCAGTTGATGGGCTTGAAAACGTTCCCATGCCTCGCAGGTCTGAATCCCTTTTCCGGGTCCGTGGGTCGATCATGTTCTTACATCTCCCGGCCACCCAGGGGGGTATCTAACATGGTGGCCCCGAGCTGGAGATACGTGTTTTACGTTTCAAGGCCACACAACAGGGGTATCTAACGTGGTTGCCCCGGTCTGGTTGCCCCCTGCGCGGGGCTCCGCAAGAGCCAAATACAATCAATACATCAACGCCAGGTGTGTAATAACCTGTCACAGTTTCTGCGGCTGGTGATTCTCCAGATTTCCCCGTGCAGAATCTAACATGGTGCCCCCGAGCTGGAACCATGTGTTTCACGTGTCCAGGCCATCGGGGTGGATACCTAACATATGTAAAATAGTGGCCCCGAGCTGGAACCGCGGTCGCGGTCGTCGCCGTCCGCCACCGTTGTCGTCGGAGGTTCGGTCCGCCCCCTCTTCTATGCATTTCGCGTCTGTTTGGATTCGCCCTTAACAGTCCGCCCTGTTGCGGAACGTATTCCTTTCAGAAGGTCTCGATTGCAATCATATTTGGGCGAGACATGTGCCCAGGCAGCTCGAGCTTGAGGCCCAGTTCAGTTCTGTCAGGGTTCGGATGCCAGGTAAGATTTGACCCACGACATAACAAAGCACGGAACTGTTCAGATTCGCCTATTTTCGGTTTGTCCTGCTTCCGAACTGACTCGGATTTTGAACTTGAGCTAGTCGAGCGCCCCGCGCGTTTCGATTGTGGTCATATCTGAGTCGTGCGTTCAGGCAGTTCAAGTTTAGGATCCAGATTAGTTTAATTGGGATCCTGACGCCACGGTCGACCTGATCCACAATGCAAATGAGCACATCACTTCAACGTCGCATGGCGCGTCCCAGTTCATCACAGCAAAGAACAGCACAGCCCCTGGCACTGTGCATCATCATCGCCACCTTGAGCATTACAATTGCCCGTCGCCCAATTTCAGTGTCTTGAACAATTGCCATGCTTCACATGCTCACCCTCTCCTCCTCTCGTTCGTTCCTCCTTTCATACTCAGCATCACCATCAAACCATCATCCTTACTTATCACATCCCTTCATGATCATCGGCCATCATCGTCACCACGCCATGCGTTCGCACTCGCCATTACCGTCATTGTCATCATACCACACTCATCACCATCACCATCCCATCATGACCACCAGTCAACACAATCATCGGTCACGGTATCGATCGGGAGCCCCGTCTGTGAGGGAATCGTGAGAAAGTGTCGAGCGGGAGTTTCTTCGCTATGGCGCCTACATTTCGTGTTACCAATTCGAGCGGAGCATTCCAATCCTGTAACAGTCGCCACTGTTGGGCTCCTCAGGCTTGTAATGTCGAGAGAGGCCCGAGCGGGGACCGCGTCTGTGCGTGTATCGCGAGGAAGGCTCGAGTGGGAAATTCTTATGGAGTTCACAGTTCATGTTACCAATCCGCGCGGGTCATCCAAACCCTGCAGCCGTCGTCATTTGTGGGTTCCTCAGGTCTGGATATTTGGAACGTCTCGAGCTGCAGCCCCTCCTTCTGGGGCCCACACTTCGTGTTACCGATCCGAGCGGGTCATCCGAACCCTGCAGTCGTCTTCGCGTTGGGGCTCCTCGGGCCTGAATCCTGAGAAAGTCTCGAGCAGGAGCCTCCTCTCCGAGTGAATCGCGAGGATGATTTCGAGGGAGAACCCCCTCCCTATGGAGCCCACACTTCATGGTGTCAATCCGCGCGGGTCATTCCAACCCTGTAACCGTCGCCACTGTTGGGCTCCTCGGGCCTGTGTGGCGAGGAAGGCTCGAGCGGCGGGCCAGACTGTGAGTGTATCGCAAGGTCTCTCGAACGGGAGTTCCTCCCTATGGGGCCCCCGCTTCCATTTCCGAATCGGAGCGGGCCATCAGCTCACAATGAGGTGATGAGCTTCTCCCCAGGGAGTAACCGATCTTCGGCCTAATCGGGCGCATAGGGGGGGCTTTTGCGTCCGGGGCGCGGGTGGTAACCCATCCGCGCCCGAATCGCGTGCAGAGGGGGAAACCCTTGCGTCTGGGCTGGAGGGTGGTAGCCCAGTGTCGGTAGAATTTTATTGCCCTTGAAAGAAAACGCCCGCGTGCTTGTGGTGGGTAAGGGGCCACTAGCGCGGGGGTGTCCCAACGGCCTGTCCCGCGGGGTTGCCCCGACGGCTTCGCGATCTGGCCATTGGATAACGCGCCCGTGCTCGCCGAGGCGGCGACGGCGCCAAGGAACATCGGCATGCGTGCTCTGGCCATACGGAAGGGGAGGTGCATGAGAAGAAGGAGGAGGAGGACACGGGGACGGCGAAGGAGGAGGAGCAGGGGGAGGAGCAGGACGAGGAGGAGGAACAGGAGAAGGAGAAGGAGGAGGGAAGGAGTAACAGGAGGAGGAGGTTACAAAAAGGGAGGACGATGCCAAGCACAGGGCGGGAGGAGGGCCTCCGCCAGGGCGAGGAGGAAATGACGAGGGGCAAATTAAACCGGTTATCGTGCGGAGTCCTACCGTCGGAGGAGTCATGACAGCTCCGTCATCCCAATCCTGACTCGAGTCCCCCGACCTCCAGTCTCACGCCTCCCATATTCGTGGCCGAGGTTCGCCGTGGCCAGGCACGCCTTCCTTCGTCAGCATGCCTTCTGGTAGCTCGATGGTCGCACACACCTATATATGAATCTATACATGGCATATCTGTGATGTGCTGTTCCAGGAGAGGGAGACAGAGGATGCCCCCGCCCCCCCGCTGCTGGCCCGCCGAGGCCATGAAGACCCTGTCCGCGGAGATCACGGAGCTCCACGTGCAGATCAAGAGGGCCGGCGAGGACGCTCACGGCCGGCGGGCTCGCCCGGCACGGCTCGGCACGGTTCCACAGAGCGCGTTCCCCATGCGAGCGAAGTGCTTGCTCGCAGCATTCTTGATCCGACCCCCATCCCCATCCTCATCCCCTTCGAGACCCCCACGAAATTACCACCCCAGTTGGGGATACACCCCTCGAAGCCCGCAGGGAACGGCCTACAGCCCCATCTAGGGGGGTAAAGCAGCCAGTGGGGCCCGGGCCACGCCGCTGGGGATGGGGATCGGTTAAACGATATTCATGCTCGCAGACTTCCGTCGAACACGTGTTTGCCTTGACGTATGATGGATCGTAGTCCACCGCGGCGGAGCCAGGTTATTGCGAGCAGTTGTTTTGCGAGTAGTGGGCCGCGCTTGTTTCCGTGTTGACTGTGGAGGCTTCGTTCGGTAGCAAGTCGTGCGAGTTTTGTATGTCTTCGCAATTCCGTTTTTCGAGTGCCCTTGCGTGTGATAGCGTTTGGTGGTCGACGAGAAAGCGCCGATACAGCGTCGGTTGGCATCGATCTATCGTCGAGAAGCGTCGATTGGCGCCGATTGCCAAGAGCCAGCATGATGGCATTGGAGGCCCCCATGTGTTGACACAGAAGTTTCGTCAGGTCCTTGCTGATCCACCCGTCTAGGCCTCCAAGATGTTAGGATACAAGTTTGGGAGGTTACATTCAGCATCGGCGCTGGTGTTCCCATGGTCAAGAGAGGGCCTAATCCGGCCTGATCCTTCCTATAATCCCGCTGAATTCCATTTCATCGCGCCAACTCCAGGCGAATCCGGTTTAATACCCAGCCCAGTGATTCTCTCTTCGCTGACGTCGCCGATGCATCGGCGATGCATCGGCGATGCCGTGCGATCTTCGGACCCAATCTGCAATCTACCAGGATACAAGTGTGTGGAGGCTTCCAATTAAGAAGAGTTCGGCATGTCCCTTCCTGTTCCTCCCCATTTGTCTTCTGGCCTGGAGAACGATGCGACAGAGCAAGCCACTCGCCATGAGAGCGAAAGGTTTTTGAGAGAAACGTGCCCTGGAGGCTTCTGGTCGTTTTCGGATCCCTGGGGCCCTCCACGGGCCCCGAGACCGCCAGATAGAAATTGAGGATGGACAATGGGTCGTGGGTGAAGGCCTCGGGATCCACTTGGGACCTGTTTCCCTCAGGACTCCTTTCTTCCACGCCAGGTCTCGGGTTGACCCAAAAGGGGGTCCAGCGACAAGGGGGTGGTGCAATAGATTTGGTGCCATAGATTTGTGGGGTTGCATTTGGGGCGTGCAATACGTTCTGGGGCGCGAATGTATTGCTTGATTTTCGCGTGCAATGTAATACTTGCAATACACTGCAATACAATTCTCCGGCGCACTACATTTGCAATACAATTGCCCGAAACCTATTGCACCACCCTCTTATACCCCTTTTTGGGGCCACCATAAAGGTCAAACATTGCTCTCGGTACCGAAGATACACATAAGCTGTCGGCGGTCCGTGCGAATGTATTGGGGAGGGGGGGGGACCGTATTGTCCTGAGAAGTCCGGGCCGACCTCATACAGTTGAAGTGGGGGGGGAATTGTTCGTTGGTTTGTTTGTTGCTATTGCTTAGACCTGGATCTTTGCTGCAGGGCGAGTCGGGAGGCGCGTTGCCGCCCAGAGGCTCCTCGAATGTCTCCAGAGCAGTGCGCACACATCGGCAGGCCTGCCCGTTCCTCCCCTTGCCTCCGTGGTTTCTCCTCCATCTTTGATCCTCCTTCCCGCCTCCTCCATCCAACTCATCCTCCTCCTCCTCTTCCTCGTCCTCCTCCCCCTCTTTCCACCATCCACCTCTTCCTCGTCCTCCTCTTCCTCGTCCTCCTCCATCCACCTCATCCTCCTCTTCCTCGTCCTCCTCCTCCTCTTCCTCGTCGTCCTCCTCCATCCCCCCCCGTCCTCCTCCCCCTCTTTCCTCATCCTCCTCCCTCTCTGCAAGCGTTTCAGCGCTGGTGGGGTCGAAGAGGCAAGCGTTGGCTGTCTGAGCATCGTGCGCACTTCGAGGATCGCACGGGGCGCGGCCAGGCTGCGGATGCGCCAGCCGGCGTCCCTGCTGACGGCGGCGTCCTTGGGAAGCCCAGTTCCGCGCCCCCTCAGCAAGGGGCCACAGGTCGGCGAGGCCTCCGCGGGCCAGGGCCGCATCGAGGCCAAGGCAAGAGAGCGTGTGCTCGCGATGCTGGGTTGGCAGGCGGAGTGGCGCTACTGCGAGGATCGCGTGCCCGCGCTGGCCGAGGCAGTCGGACCAGTGGGCGGCGGTGCAGCAGAGGGAGCCGATTGCGGTCTGCGGCGTCTCGACGGCGACGACAGCGGCAGCCAGCGGCGTCGGCCCCGACGGGGACGATGTCATCGGCGCAGGGTCGCGGCCAGGAGGAGAGGAGAGAGGCCGCAGGAGGCGGTGACGGCATTGGGCTGCGACGGCGTGTGCGTGGTGGGCCGGCTCCCGCCTGAGAGGAACTGGGCGCAGGTGGATTGGATCAGGCACGTTGGAGCCGGCTGGGGTGCGGATGTGGCCCAGCTCTGGTTCTTGCCCGCAGGCAGGCACTGCTTGTCGCCGCGGCTGGACGCGGCTCGACAAATTCATCAGTTTTGATTTCAGAAGGGGTCCGGGGACCGATTTTGAGCGGATTTGTTTTCGTCCATCTATCTTGATCGATGTTCTCAGGGCCTATCCAGCGCAGATCTCCCAGCCACGTCCAACAGATAATCGTGGCGCGAGTTTGACCATGACGCCCAATGTTATGGCAGTTCTGCTCTAGAGTGCATGAAGTTTGCCCTCAGTTCGTTGGTGCGGGGACCACTTCGATTTTTGCAAGGACCAGTAGCAGCAGCAGCCTTTCTCCGTTGGAGAGACGCTGACGGAGGCTAGCGTCCAGACTGATGATCGGTCAGACCATGCAGCGTATGGGCGAGGTTTACGTTGCGATGGACATGGAGTGCTGCGTCGGCTGCGTCCCATGTCGAGGGTTTCGCCCAGCAATTTGCGGCGAGCCAAGGGTGGGTAATTAGGCGCTGGGAGTGCGGACCCAGCGTAGTTTACGATGGATCGTAGCCCAGGGAGCGCGGACGCAGTGTAATTTACCAGGGGCCGCGTGGCCCTTGACATCTCGATGAATAATGGGGTGCGGGAATCCTAGGAGGCTCGAGGTGATCCTCGGCGCGTCCCCTCGGCACGTCCCGCGGTGCGTCCCCTATGCCAGGTCCCCTGACACTTCTTCTGGCGCGTCCCTTGGGGTGTTCCGCGGCGCATCCCCCTGGCATGTCCCGTGGCACGTCCCTTGGCGCGTCCCCTGGCTCGTCACAGTGCGGCACGGTACAGCGCAGCGGAGCACAACACAGCCCTTGGCACATTATCATCACCATCGATATCTTCAGCATCGCCACTGCCCATCGCCCAATTGAGGTCCTCCGAAACATGTCCATGTCTCGCAGTACTCAGTCCCTTTCCGGGTTCGTGGGTCGATCATATTTTTCACGACGCCAGGGGTCTTGGGTGCATTGAACGCTTGTGCAGGACAAACACACATGAGACCTGCAAGAGGTTGCACGGGCAGCCGGCGATGGCGACCTCGGGACGCGACGGCGGGGCGCGACGACGGACATGGTTTTTCCGCGGACGATCTGTGTGCACCGTACCGCGTTGGCGTGTCCCGAGGCGACGTCTATCCTCGACCCAGGAAAGGTGCGGTGCATCATTTCTCGGCCCCCAGTGCCGAACAACCACGCAACCCACCGCGTTGGAGCGGGGCCTGCAGTGAGTCCAAGCATGGCACGGTGCATGGGCGCCGTTCTCGCAATGGTGTTGACACCAGGCGACGGAGAAGGGCGCGGCCGAGATGCGCGGCTTGAGATGGCCGCGGCAGCGGCGCAGTCCAAAGCGCGGCTGGCGCTCGCCTGAGGCCCAGCCGCGGCGTTGGCGGCAGCGAGCCGCGAGGATGCCCCGCGAGAGGTGCATTGATGCCGAGCCCTGGCTGCGGCCTGAGGCGTCGCGGTCGGAGGGTGGGGCAAAAGGGTGCAAATGGGGTGTGTTTGGCACCATCTACAGTCTACGCCCTCGGCGGTTCCCTTGATGAGGATGAGCAGGATCGAGGCTCGATGTGTTTGGATGCGTTGGCTTTGTTTTCGGCCCCTGGAGACCTGGGAGGAGGATGAGGCCCTCAGACTCTGGCGGTCTGACGGTCTCTGGGGACGCGGAGACCTCCTGGGGCCTGGACCGCAAGCGAGCTTCTGAGGCCTCCGAGGCCGTCCCAGGCGCCAGGGCGTTCGATTCACAAGTGGGCGCCACGAGAAGCCCAGGCCAGCGGTGGAGCCCTTGGCCGATGGGCCAGGCTGCAGTGACCTGGCTACCGCGCGTCTCGGGTTGCTGCCGCTCGGGTCTGCCGTGTTCTCGCAGGCTCTGTCAGTCTTTCTCCTGCCTCCTCCCCCTCGGCGCTCGGCGCTCATGCATCGATGTCACAAGTGTCATTGCCTCCTCCTCCTCTACCGAACCCCTCCCCCCTGGTCCTTCGCGTGTTGTCTTTCCTTGTGTCTCACCTTCCGTCTTGGTTTGCTTTCCATCTCGCTGCCTCACGCCGCAGGGCTCGTGGATGTATCAAATGTATGCATGGTGCTGCGGCGCCCCCGCTCCGTCCCCAGGTGGACCGCGCTCCGGCGCATATGCGAGTAGATCCCTCCTTGGAGCGTCGAGGCAAGGAAGAGGAGGAGGAGGATGAGGATGAGACGGAGGAAGACGGATCAGGATCAGGACCAGAAGGAAGAAGAAGAGGGAGGAGGAGTGGAGAAGAAGGAAGAGGGGGGGCGGCAGTGGAGGATGTGGAGGGCATGGAGAGGCGGGGGACAATGAAAGGGCAGGTGGGGTTAAGGAAGAAGAGTACTAGTCAGAAGGGAAAGGGGAGGGTGCCGGGATTTCTTGCTGAGGACAGGGAAGCTGAGAACAAGGACTTCCAGACTACCATCGTCGACCAGCAGGAGACGCAGAAGCTCCTGCAGAAAGCCCTGCAGATCCTGAAGGCGGTCTACAAGGCGTCCCAACAGTAGGTATGGCATGAGGTAAATGTACGACCGCCCTGCGGGCGATAAGGAGGTTGGGTGGGATTGAGATCAAATGCCCACCCTGACTGACCTCCAGCCTGTCACCTTGATCTCATCTCTCTCTTTCTCTCTGTCTCTCTCTCTCTCTCTGTCTCTCTCTCTCTCGCCCTCTCTCTCTCTCTCCCTCTCTATCAGAGTAAGATGGGTTGGATTGGAAGAGACGGATTGGATAAGACAAGATGGATTGGATTGGCCCGCCGCAGGCGCAGAAACAAATGAATTGATGGATTAGGTTAGGTGGATTGGATTGGGTGGGATAAGATAAGATGGGACAAAATGGGTTGGATAAGATAATATGTATTGGATTGGACAAGATGAATTGGCTAATATTAGTTGGATTGGATAAGGAAGCCCGCCGCAGGCGCCGACAAAATGAATTGATGGAATGGGTTGGGTGCATTGGATTGGATGGGATAAGATGGATGGGATAAGATAAGATAGGTTGGATTGGAAGACATGTATTGGATATGATAAGATGGGTTGGATTGGCCCGCCGCAGGTGCATACACAAATGAATTGGATTGGGTGGGATAAGATATGATGGGACAAGATGGGTTGGATAAGATCAGATGGATGGGACTGGACTCGATGGATTGGAGAAGATTAGCTGGATTGGATAAGAAAACCCGCCGCAGGCGCCGAAAAACATGAATGATGAAATTAGCGACATGCGTTAGCGCCGGGACGCCCGGGACACCCGGGACACCCGGGACACCGCCCGGCCCAATTGGGACACCTCCCGGCCACCCGCGGACGGGAAACGGATTTTTTTTCCTGTTGACACCAGGGACACCCGGGACACCGCCTGGCCCAACTGGGACACCTCTCAGCCACCGGCGGACGGGAACAGATTTTCGCTCCTGCTTCGGCCTAGCTACAGGAGGATCACGCGCAGCTTCGCCTCGCCCGCACGCACGACACGAACACGAAACCGAAACCGATTTCCCGGTGGGGGGTCTCCGTTTCACTGCGATCTCACCCTCCAATCTCCGATTGTTTAAGATAGGGATGAGGTGGTGATGAGGTTGACGTTGGGGATGACGATAATGACGACGATGGTAATTGACAATGGCTCTGAACACGACGATGAGACATGCTGTTGCGGATGACAATTGTGTTGTTGATGATGGTGATGATGGTGATGAGGATGAGCATGAGGATGGTGATGCGGATGATGATGATGATGATGATGATGATGATGATGATGATGATGATGATGATGATGATGATCAGGATGATGATGATTATGATGATGATGGTTTTGATGATGATGATGATGTCGATGATGAGGATTATGATTATGATGATGATAATGCTGACAATGATGCTGATGCTGCAGATGATGATAATGCTGATTATGATGGTGGCGATGATGGTGATGCTGATGTAACTGAGTATGATGGTGATGACCATGGTGTTATGAATATCATGGTGATGATGCTGGCGATGAAGATATTGATGATATGGTTGGGGATGATGATGATGTTGTTGATGTTGCTGATGATGATGCTGATGATCATGCTGCTGATGATGATCGTGATGATCATGATCGTGACCGTGATGATTAAGTATGACAAGCAGAAGGATCAGAAGGAGAAGGCGGAGGAGACGGGGGGTCATGGACGAGACCGGAGGGGGAGCGTGCAAGGGAGCGGCGGAGAGGGATGAGACCGGAGGGGCCAGGAGAGGGAGCGTCAGCAGGAGGAGGGTGGACTCGGCAGGGGCGGAAGCCACACGTCAGCAAGCACGGTGGAGGAGGGTCCGTTCCCAGCCTCGGCCCAAGCGCGCCGCGGGCGCGGAGAGCCGCGCCCAGGGCTCCCCCCCCGCCCGGGCTCCCCATGTCGGAAGGCGTGGACTTCCGCGCCCTGGCCGCGGAGCGCGAGGCTCGGGACGATCGGAAGTCACCGGGCGCGGTCCACTACTCTCGGGCCGGACGAAAGGGGGGGGATTGGGAAAGGGGGGGTTACGAAATCTGCTGCGTGCAGCTGGTTTCGGCCCCACCGAGGGGCCCATTCCTCGGTATGCGTGGCCGCCTCCGGCGCCGGGAGATGCCGGGAAAGTCAGCTACGTGAGCTGATTCTCAAACCCCTCCTTTGCTATCCCCCCCTTTTGCCCGGCCCGATACTCGCGAAGTGTCTATTCGCAAGTGTCCGACAGAAATAGGTCTTCGTCCTCTAGGTGGTGTATCGCAAGTCCCTCGCGGCGGATCCAGGCCATTGCGAGTAGCCACTTTGCGAGTCGTGAGTGCGCTCGTCCAGAAATGGATACAGTCGTCGGGGGAAGGAGAAGCGACACCACCAAAACCAGGGGGGCCACCTCCAGCGAGGAGGTCCACGAGGCCTCGAGCTGGGGATAGGGGATGTCTCGGGCGGGAGGGGCGAGCCACACCACCAGGGGGGCCTCCCCTGGCTCCTCCAGCTGGTGGTCCCTGGTGGTGTTGTTGTCGCTTTCCATGTTCCTGCGGCCCTGACTGGTAGGTCGACCATGCCAGATCGAGGGTGCCCTTGTGTCCTATCGATCCGGACCTGTGCAAACCGCATGTCATCTGGTGTTCTGGGGCCACATTGCCGTCGGAAGAGTCTTGTGTCCTCTCGGGTGTCCTGTCCAATCATTCCGACTGTAAGCGGCGTTGGCCCGTCGGCGACGCCAGCAAAGGCGTTCAGGGTTCAATTCTGCGACGCGGAAGCACCGAGTGACGCGGTGACGCCACTGGACCCGATGGAGTTCCAGGTTCAAGGCTGAATGATCGACGTGGTGTCAAGGAACTTTGCGCGTGCCGACGCCGCGCGAAACTGCACGTTCATTTTGGACAGGGCTCGCTACCGGCGTCGCCGCGGTCTTTGTCCACTTGAGACAGGAGGCCGCCTGCCTAAGAGTGGCCGCTGTCGGTTGTGGACAACATTTGCTGTTGGGCATCGCACCCCTTTTTCGATACAGTGGAAGCCCGTGCCAAGAAACATTATGCTTGCTTCGAGGGTTCGATGGTTTCTTGGGTTTCGATGGTTCTGCTCTGGAGAGCGTGACGTTCCCACACTGCAAATCGAGGCCGTCCTGGGGTCTCAGGGTTTGGTTTCTTGTGATCTTGTGGAAGGCTTCTTGTGGTCGAGCTCCTACTGCACGGTAGGTTCGCATCACCGACTGGCGGCGATTCCGCCGCAGGCGTTCAGCGTTGAACGCCGCTGGCGACCCAGAATCGATTTGTCGAACGATTCAACGTTCTGGAAAGAGCCGATCATTCAAGGTTGAGCGATCCAGCGCGGTGTCAGAAACCAACGCCAAGGTTGGCACGACGCGAATCTACCGTTAAGTCGGGCCTGTCCTTCTACAGGAGGAATATTCAAAAATAGTCAAAACATAGTCTGGGGACAGTGTTTTGAGTATTTTTTGTCTTTTTTTAGTTTTTTGGGGTATCTTGTATTTTTCGTCCAAAATCCGCCTGTACGAGGACACGCCCGACCTAAACTTACCGTACCCATTTCGGGAGTCCGAAGAGGCGCGCGCGCGCGCAAGGGGCCCGGAGGCCGCCCCGATGCCGAACCCGTGGCCGCAGGCTGCGTGGCTCCCCCGGCTTATTCGTCGTTGGCCTCCTCCTCCTCGTCCTCCGCCTCCTCCTCCTCCTCCGCCTCCTCCGCCTCCTCCTCCTCCTCTTCCTCCGCCTTATCCGCCTCCTCCTCCTCCGTCTCCTCCTCCTCCTGCTCGTCCTCCTCCTCCTTTTTCTCCTCCGCCTCCTCGTCTTCCTTTTCCTCCTCTTTCTCTACCTCCTCTTCCGCCTCCTCCTTCTCCTCCTCCTCCGCCTCCTCCTCCTCCTCCTCCTCGTTCTCCTCCTCTTTCTCCTCCTCCTCCTCCGCCTCCGACTACTCTTCCTCTTTCTCCTCCTCTTTCTCCTCCTCTTCCTTCTCCAGCTACGAGGGGGTGGTGCAATACAGTGGGGGCGCGCAACAAGATACCACATGCTTTTCGTCTGGGTACCCTGGGTGTCTTCGCTCCGCGCGCTGCGTGGCGGCTTCCCGCAGCCGTCGAAGAGAAGATGCTGCATTCAGGGTGCTCCGGGTTTCCTCTTCAGGTGCGTCTCGCGGGCGGGTTTTCAGGTTTGGGTTATTGTGCGAGGATTTCTTGCGGCCGCGCCCGCGCTATAGATGTGGTGCAATAGATTTGTGGAGTTGCCTTCGATTTGGGGCGTGCAATACATCCCGATGCACAAACGTACTGCTGGATCTTCGCGTGCGATGCATTAGTTGCAACACAATGTAATACAATTCTCTGGCGCAATACATTTACAATACAATTGCCCTACATCTACTGCACCACCCCCGCTCAGCTGGACCCCTTTTTCGGTCACGAGGAGGAGGGCAGGGCTCGTTTCGAAATTGCTCCAGCTCGGTTCGATCAGATTTCGGTGGTTTCCGATATTGAGTCGATTCGTCTTAGGCCATGACGCGCGTTATGCCCCCACCCTTTTTTCCCCCCTTGCCCACTCCACAACGTAACGCTCCCCCCTCAAGTGCGTCCTGGACACTGCCGCAGTGCGTCTGGCACCACAGTCTATCACAGTGGGGGGCGGGGGCGTTACGTTATGCCCCCCTGCCCCCCCGCATAACGCCCGTTGTTTGAGAAATGCTTTATTGGGATTCCGATCTGGACTCAGATTTCTCAATGGAAGCCTTGCTGGCCTACCGATCTCGGTCGATTCGACTTCTCCCGATTTCGCTTCCGATTTCCGCTGATCCGATTCATTCCGCTTGCCGATCCGACATGCAGTGAGCGGCTTGAATAAGGAACACCTATGTTTCAATAGGGGCTCGGTCGTTCCTCAGGGGTTGTAAGCGTTGTCTATCGTTCCTTATGCGTTATGTATTGTTTATCGTTCCTTATGCGTTCTTCCTTGGACAAAAAGGGGCTTCGTTCCTTATGTATCGTTTCTTAGGTCAGGGCGATGACTGTATCGATTCCGCTCTCAGGAGGGACGCAGGCCTCCCAACTTCGGCCCCGTCATCGCTTCTCTGCGCGAGCGTGACTGCGCCCTGCAGCGCAGCCACCTTTTTGGGGTCGAGAGTGGGACCGCTTGTCGGGGGCCGGTCGTGCGTGTCGACGTGGAGCCCGATTTTCTCCGCGCCGACGTCGCCGATGCATCGGCGATGCTACGCGATCTTCTGACCCGATCTACTCGGACCACAATCGGGAGGTCTCTAGGGGAGGTACCTGTCGCTAGTTCTTGAAGGTTCCCTTCGCCTCGGGTCCCGAACGGCCGCCAGAGGCCTCAGTCATGACCCGACAACCACCTTGCGTCGATCCGATCGATGTCGAACCGATGTCGGTCCCGACTGGTCCTTTCCGACTCGGCCCCGTCGCCATGGAGCAGACAGGCTATGAGAGGAGCGGGCCACGAGGTCTACAGTCGACCCGCAGAGTAAGGATAGGCATCCCTCCCAAGGGTACCCTTGCATCCTTGCTTCCTGGGTCCATCCTTGGACACGTTCGTTGGCCGCGCCCCGCTCGAAACGCTTCGAGATGGGCGTCCAAGGGCCTTGCATCCTTATCGCGCATCGTTACTCTGCGGGTTGACTGTATCGCCCTTTTCGGGGCCCTCCTTGGCCCCCCCCCCCCGTCCGCCAACAAAAATTCTCAGGATTAAGAGCTGGTCCTGCGGAAAGCCCTGGGGTGTCCAGGACCCGGCTCCCTCGTACCACTGCCGGTACTCCGACGAACCGATGTGGCCAGCTTGCCTGCATGGCGCTGCTGTGACCTTGGCGCGGCCGCTGCCCGAGGGAAGAAAAGACTCCCATTCAGAGGAGGAAAAGGTACCCATACCTCTACCCTTCGCCCAGCGTCGCCATTTGCTCAATGCCTGGTGGGCCGCGGCGCCACGCGCCCGCGGTTCTTCGCAGGTCGGGCCACGCGATGCTGTCGCCCCCTTGTGCCTGCTCGGGGCCCCTGGTGCGCTGAGGCTGGCGCCCTCTGCGGAGGGCCGCGCTTGCTGCGGCGCAGAGGTGGCTGAGCTGCAAAATTGTCGGTGGCCCTAAGGGTGCTTAGGGCCGCGGAAAATCCAGCTGAATGCGACTGGTCTCCTACAACCCATTGTCCTTGTGCAGGAAGCTGCGGGCGGAGGAGATCAGCACCGCCCTTGGCGCACACGACGTGGTGGCGCTGCAGGGCACGCAGCTCCGCTGGCGTGGAGGCCCCGACGCTTCGAGGCAGTTGCTGCCGATGCATGACGCGCTGCACTGGGGATGGGGCCGTGGTGGGCACACCACCAAAACTTGTGGGGTCTCCATATTCTCCAGAAGGGCTTCAAGGTGCTGGGGTTATTGACGCCGTCTCCCGCGTTGCGGGGTCGTGGCAGAGGCGCCCGCGTTAGAAGGGGCGCGCTGGACATCCTGGTGCTGGCTCTCTATTTCCCTGTTCGGGGGGCAATGGCACATCGACAGGCGGCGGAGGCGCCCTTCACCTGGACGCAGCGCTGCCTCATGGACTGCCCGACGCGGTGTACGCCGTTGCTGTGCGCCGATCCCAATGACGGTTTAGGATTGGTGAGGTACGAGGCGGGGGCCTTCTCCCCGTGGTTGGAGGTCATCGGTCAGGTCGAGCCCGCTCTGGAGCACGAGAGTGGGACGGCCTGGAGGCAGCTGTGCGAGGACTGGGACCTGGCCTCGGCCAACACGTTCTACGAGGGCTACACGTTCTCGGGCCCCACTGGAGCCAGGTACTGCCCTGATGTGGTGGCTCTGCCTCGCGCGCTCCTCGAGTGCGTCGACAGGTGCCGCCCGCTCTACGCCGTGGGGGATCGCCTGCAGGCTATCCGAGCACGTGGCAGGCGCGACCACGCTCCGCTGGGCGCCACGGTCTTTGCGCAGCCCGTCCACCCTGAGCTTCCTCCGCGGGCGGAGCGCGAGCGGTGGGACCTCGACGCTTGCATGCAGGCCCTGCAGATGCAGAAGGGCAAGCTGGGCTTCCTCACCGACCTCGAGGCCGCGTGCGAGTGCATGCAGCGGCCCCCCTTGGACGAGGAGAACAGCCCTGGCGCGGCCTGGGATGAGCTGGCGGCGGCGCTGCGCACTGCGGGGCTTGCGCATTTTGGCCTCCAGGCGCGGAGCACGAAGCAGATGGGGGAGACAACGGCGCAGCGGCGCCGTCTTCTGCTCGAGCGTGCCGCTGTCCGCCGTCGGCACGTCGTCGAGGGGGAGCTCTCCGGCTCAACGGAGGCGGAGATCGAGAAGCGCGAGAAGGAGCCGCGGGGGGCCAAGCGGAAGCTGCACACCCTACAACGCTCTCAGCGGCGGCGGCGGCGGGCGGTGCGTTGCGAGGCCCTGGCTGAGGCCGAGCGGCTTGGCGACGCGGCAGCCGCGTGGCGGCTCGCCCACCTGCCGGGCGAGCGCGCGACGGGCGCGGGGGGGCGGGCGCACTCCACGCCGCGCCTGGAGCACACTGCTGCGTCGAGGAGGCAGCCGCTCATGCGGGGGGGGTGCGAGGGCGGGCGCTCGGCGACGGATCTGACGCGACGCCGCGCCTCGCGCAGCTCCGCCCTGCGGCGACGCAGCGCCGTTCGGTGCTGGACGCCTGGCGCGCGGCGGAGACGGACCTGGAGGAGCTCGAGGTCCGGATCAGGAAGAAGATGCAGCCCCGGAGGGCGGCGCCGCCGCGGCCCGCTCCAGCGCTGGCTTGGCGCCGATCGCCGAGGCGAGCGGGGGCGAGGGCATCGGCTTCTGTGCGGAGGCGCCCACTATGCAGGCGTTCAGGGCACGCCTGCTGCATTGCCTCGCCCTTGCGCGGCTCTTCGAGGCGGCCCTCTTGGATTGGTCACAGTCCAGGGCGGCGGACATCGGCAAGATCATTTATGTCATGTGCCCTGTCGGCAAGGCTCGCGTGTCCATGCTGGCGGCGCGTGCTGGGCGGCCCGGCGCGTCTCCGAACGACTTAGGCTTCGTGGTGTGTCCGCCGCGGCGGCTTGGTGGTGCGTCCGCCGTGGCAGCGGAGAGGGCCGCGCACTGTGGGCTTTCGGTCCTGACGAGCTACAAGGACCTGAGTAAGGCCTTCCAGTGCCCCTCGATCGAGGACATGGCGCAGGGCCTCCACGGCGCGGCGCGCGGGGTGGACCACCCTGTCGCGGCGCAAAGGGCCCGCGACTACCGCTGCGAGATGGAGACGGCCGAGGGCATCTTGCGCATGCGGGCTCGCCAGGAGGTGCTCATTGGCGACTCGATCGGCCCCTCCCACCCCCTCGAGGTCTTCTCCCCCGCGTCGACGGCCTGGGCTGTGGAGGACCTGGGGCGCCCCGGCGCGCAGCTGCTGGTGGTCAAGCCTGTGGTGACGGATGCGGTCCTGGACCGGAACCTCGCGAAGTTCGCGGGCGACCTCTGCGAGCGCTTCTTCTCCTGGTGCCACGATGCGTTGATCAAGAACCACATCGCCTCGGACCTGCTATTCGACCGCCTCCTCGAGCCTCGAGGTTTTCGCCAGAACGTCGCCAAGCAGCGCGTGGCTTGCCTTCCGTGGCGAGGGGGGCAGGTCCAAGACGCGGGCCTTCTTTGCTGGCAAACTGGGAGTTCGTGGCAA